GTTCAGTTATAGAATGCATCACATTCAGCCACATTATAGAGTTCAGCTCCTTTCTCATTTACACAGTTTGGCTGCAGTACCTCAAACTAATCAAACTCAACTTCATTTATGGTAAGTGTTCACTGGTTTTTAATTTGAAACTATATTCAATTCTAAGAATAATGGTTGTAAGTTTTACGTTTCTGCTCCTATTATTCAATAAGTTATAAGCAATTGAAAAAAAGATGTGTGACGTCATTGGGCCCGTCTCATCGTAATTGTCTATCTTATACGTGAAAAAGTTCCTCGTTTCACACAACTATAAATGTGTGGTTTTATGTGTTTAAGACGATACAAGTATCAGAATTTCAATGTAAATTTTAGTTTTTTAAATATTAAGAATTTTAAAAAATATATTTGAATTTTTATTTTATATTTAAATGGCCATGACGCGCCGTTTAACAAAAATATCACTTTAAAGATTTATTAATACTTAAAAAACTAAACGTTATATTGAATTTATTGTTAATCATTTATTTTACATCGGATTTTCACCAAATCATTTAATATAGCTACAATAATTTAACATTTAATAAAAATTTAAAGACATTATTTTTTGTGTTGTATGATCCTTTAAGTATATTTTGTAATATATTAATTCATAACTAATAATTATGTAATTATGTTTAGCGTGGAAAGCACTGCATTAAGACTGATTACTGGCCTTGGGAGCAATGAAGTGCAACCACAATTATCTCGATTTTTAAGTGAACCAAAAACTTTGGTATCAGCTGAATGTGAAGAACTCAACCGTGCACTTGTCTTAACATTAGCTAGATCTATGCATATTACAGGCACTTCAGCAAGCCAAGAAGGGTCTTGGTGCAAAGAGTTACTAACTACAATCATGGCCAATACACCACATACTTGGGCTCCACATACATTACAATGTTTTCCTCCCGCACTTGCAGATTTCTTTGTCCATAATCCCATTACTAAAGAAAACAAACAGCAACTAAAAGTATGCCGATTAAAATTATTGTCAACTATTTAAACATAAATGAACATTTATTTTTAGAAAGCAGTAGAAGAAGAGTATCGGAATTGGGCTTCAATGACAAATGAAAATGACATCATTGCACATTTTTCTGTACCTACTGCTCATCCATTGTTCTTATGTCTTCTTTGGAAAATGATAATAGAGACCGACAGAATTAATCCAATTGCTTATAAGTAAGTATGATGAAATAAACATTTAAATTTTATAATTTTAAAATTGAAATTAAATTGAATTTAAATTGAATATTGGAATTAAAAAGCCACCACAAAATTTATATTATTAATTATATTTTAGGATATTGGAGCGAATCGGTGCTCGAGCTTTATCTGCTCACCTTCGCAAGTTTTGTGATTATTTGGTTTTCAAATTTGCCGTGTCAGAAGAAGGCCAACATGTTAACAAATGTGTTGATGCTATCAATAGCATGATTTGGAAGTACAACATTGTTACAATTGATCGCCTTGTTCTTTGCCTCGTAGGTTTTCAAAAAAATATTCAAATGCTATTTATTTCAATCTTAAGTCTATTTATAAAATTATTTATCAATTATTGTATTGCAGGCACTTCGTACACAAGAGGGCAGTGAAGCTCAAGTGTGTTTTTTTATTATACAGCTACTTTTGTTTAAAGGTGCTGAATTCAGAGCTCGAGTGTGTGAATTTGTTAAAGAAAACTCACCTGAACACTGGAAACAATCTAATTGGTATATTTCCAAAAAATTTTGTATTTGCCTTAAACTTAATTATTAATAAATGTTGTTTAGGCATGAAAAACATTTAGCATTTCATAGAAAATATCCTGAGAAATTTGCCCCTGAAGGAATTTTGGATCCTGCATCGTATCAGCCCTTGCCTGTGTATTTTGGAAATGTTTGCCTTAGATTTTTACCGGTAATGTTAAAATAAATATGTGTGGGCACTAAATTTAATATAATGTTCAATATATTACTATTAATATTCCTATTTTTTTTATTTTACATAGGTTTTTGACATAGTTATTCATAGATACCTTGAATTACCACCAGTAACGAAGTCATTAGAAACACTCTTAGATCATTTAGGATGCTTGTATAAGTTCCATGGTATTTAATACATATTTTTAAGGTTGTATTACCAATTATATACAGAGTGGAAAAAAATGTGTTTAGTCTATATAAATTAAAAATATTTTCAGTACCAGTTTTTGGTGTGAAATTCTTGTACTAAATGATAAAAACTGTGTAAACTATGATTTTAAATACTAATATTTTAAAATAGCAAAAAAATACAAAATTAAATAATTCACTCACTGTTAGTCTATCAAGTGTTAAGGTAGAGCTGTAAATTAACTTATGTTATAACCTTGTACTGAATTCGGTGGTTAAAACTTTAACTTTTTCATGAACATTTGTTTGATTTTCAAAAATTTCACATTAACTTTATATGAACTAGTGATACTTATACAGTTATTCTCACTTTCTTTCCACTCTGTATATATTTGTATACTCTGTCCAGCGAGGGAACTCGTCTATTCTGCGGATCCTCCTGGTCTTAACTATTGGTTGCTATCAAAACCAGTTCTCTTATGGCAGAGTATTGAGCGGGGAACCAGTTTTGGTCGGTGCATTCTCTCGCTGGACAGACTATACATAATTACTATAAATACATTTATAATACTTATAATTTCCTAATTATTTATTCAGATCGTCCTGTCACATATCTGTATAACACGTTGCATTACTATGAATCCAAGTTACGTGATCGGCCATCATTAAAACGTAAACTTGTGTACGCGGTGCTTGGATCACTATGTGAAACACGTGGCTGCTGGACACTGTCTGAAGCGTATCAAAGGTACAACATACAGACACCAACGTCCACAATTACCAATTCAATGGGCACTAGCACCGATGTCACGGTTACTCCTTCGGCTCCTATATGGGTGCCTGATCTAGAGTATTATGTTATGCTGGTCAAACGGATTACAGACAGTATCCTTTTTTTTGCTTAGATACAATTTCAATAATTTTGGTGTATAAATTCAGCATTTTCAACAATATTTCTATACAGTGTGTGTGTCATTAATACCAATTTTACTCTAAAATATTGTTGAAATAATAGTTGGTACTTTAAGTGTTTCTTAGAAAAGCCTTTTTGCCAACTGAGACACTTATTGTTTGACAATTAACTGTCCTTGGCTCAAAATTATAAATGTTCACCTTAACTTCTTCTAAAGCCATGAATGGAAATGTGAAGTTTCCGAACATAGACTGGAGATTTAATGAATTTCCCAATCCTGCCGTTTACGCTCTATACATGACATGTGCAGAACTCATGGCTTTACCACTAACTCCAGCTTCAGTGGCTAATTCTTTACTTGATGTCGTGATGCAAAGGTAACTTTTATTATTTTTATAAGTTAAACTATTAAAATTAATAATAATTGTAACATTTGTTAATAGGTATACTGAAATTCCATCACATGAAATACACTGCTGGATAAACAGTATTGGTCTTATAATGTCTGCCATGCCAGAACCATTCTGGGTGACATTACAAGACCGAATCATGCAAATGATGCAAAGTCCTGGTTTGGCTACATGGCACTATGCACACACACCATTCCAATTATTTAATTTTGATCTTGCTCATGGATGTATGCTTGACAACCGGTTTATTTACATGTTAGCCTTGGCGCACGCCACATGGCATCATGCTGGTGTTGGACACATTGCTTCTATACCACTGTGAGTGAAAACTATGGACTTGTTATTGTTTTTAAAATGTTATTATCAATATCTTTGAAATTTTGTACAGGTTTGTAAAAGAAAAACTTGGTCCATCTGTGTACAGCGAAGAACAATTTATATTTTTATGTCATTTGGTTGCACCATTCCTATCCCGTTATAATCTTGATAAGCCATCGCCATCTATAGTAGACGTCACTGTCGAACTATTTAATGCTTTGGAAAGAATGGACAAGCACGTTCAGACTCTACATTACATGGACCCAATCTGCGATTTATTGTATCCTTTAAATTTTTAACCAACACAATTTTTTTTCAGCGCAAACACTGAAATTTAATTTTAAAATTAAGTTTCCTTAATAAATTAATTTAGATATCACATCAAATATCAGTATGTAGGAAATTTAATGAAGTCTGAAGTCGAAGGAATTGTTTACCGCCTTAGACTGCCCTTACAAAAGAAATTGAGGTTTATTACACAATTAAGTTTAGCAGAAGTCGAGGCAATGAATCAAAGAAGTGCAGATCCTGTAGCTGTGAACACAAATGGTACAAATGGCATTGCAACACCTCAAAATACTAATGCTGCATCTGTACCACAGTAATTAGTTGAATTTAATAATCAATTACTTTTTGCTGTAACATATTATTAATTATTTATACAATACAATACAATCATGGTTTTTTTAAATGTTTCAATTTTATTACAATAGATAAATTATAAAAACACTATCCTATGATAATTAATAATTATAGAGAAATAATTCATTTTGTAAATATGAAGATACTTTTATGTTTTTCTAGAAAAATATAAGAAATATGTACAATTATTTTTTACCACCCAGTTAAAATTGTATGTAATATCTTAAGTAATACCCAAACGATGTTTTAAGACTGATGTCAAATTAATGAAAAATTATTTAAGAAGTTTGTTACTCTAATGTTGAGTTGCATAAAAAATTGAATAATGGTTCACCTAATTTTATTGAACCAATCATGGGCCACTAAATGATGTTCAAGGGACCATTACTTCACTATTGATTCATTTAATGTTTAATGATAGTTTGAGCAACTCAACAATAGGTTATAAAATAATGTATGTTTGATAATATTTTTTTAATTAAATCATGTATTACTAGTACTCAATGCTTGAAAATTTATTCACCAACTATTTCATAATTTAAGAAATAAGGAGGAAGAATGAAACAATTAATTTCCCAAAACATATATTTTTATTTATTTATTAAAATTGACTTTAGTAACAAGACCAGCTGCTATAGTAGTACCAGCTGACCGTAACATCACTCTCCCCAATTGTCTGATGTCTGAATATACCTCTACACAAATTGGCCTTGATAGATTTATTTTGATAAGAGCATGAGTATTTTTTTTTATTATTCGAGGATTTTTCTTGATGACTTCACCAGTACTTTTATTTAGTTCTGCTAAAAGTCTACTGACAACTGCCGATTCTGACGAACTTTGATAGTGCAATACAACTTGATGCCCACGAACAATAGGGAAATCCACATTAAATACGACCACTCGTGCTTCTAATACTGATGTTATTGGTATTGGAAGCAAAATATCACATAAAACGCAACCGGAGTAAATAGTTTGTGCATCATAACCAGTAAGCGAAACACTGATAAAGTCACCAGCCAATCCAATTGGCTGTGGCAATTCATCTATTTCAATACCTGATGAACAAAATATTGGTAATATTTTTTTTCAATGTGACAAATTTAAAATTAACAAAAATATTCACTCTTAATTTGGGCGACTTCTCCTTGTGGCTGTACTAAAACCTTATCACCGACTTTAAGCTGTCCTGTTTCAACTCGTCCGACAATTGAAAATCCTGATCCTGAACTTTTAAAAACATCACTTATACATAACCTTAATGGTTTAGAAATTGCCCGCTCCGGTGGTTTAAATGAATCTAAAAACAAATATGTATAATTTAATTCTATTTCGAAATATCTTTAATTTATTTGGTTACCGACCAATAACATCCATTAAACAAGGACCATTATACCAACAGGTTAGTAATGATTCATTTGCTTTTGTAGCCAGATTTTCACCGCTTAATCCAGAGCATGGTACAAATGTAACATCAGATTCTTTGTAACCAGCTTGTTTCAAAAACAGTCCAAGTTTTGTTTTGATCTCCTCAAATCGTTCTTCTGACCAGTTGACAGTATCCATTTTATTTACGGCAACTCCGAGTTGAGTAATTCCTGAGAATAGAAAAACATTGTGTATTATCAAATGCATTGTATTTTGAATTTTTTTATTATTTACCTAGAGACCGTATTAAGAGGGCATGCTCTCGTGTCTGCCCACCACTGTCAAATCCAGTTTCAAATTCTCCTTTAGTTGCATCTACAACTAACATAGTTGCATCAGCCTGAGAAGCCCCTGTAAAATCATCGCATGAAATAAACACTTCAAATCTAGTTTTAATGTTTAAACTCTTATTGTATACATTTTTAATGCTAAGTTCACATATAGGATTAATTTTTAATCATAAATTCACATGTGCATATTAGGACAGTATAGTCTTTATTCGATAATTCAAAAACTCCATAAATCGTACTAAACATTTGGTCCCCTCTATAATTAGAAGAAAATACATGTATTTCGTTCCCCTGTGGGAGACTCAAATAATTTTGTTATCGCGAAATAACCTAACTGAAGTACATGTAATCGTAATCAAACAAATAACAGAGGCGATAAAATATTATCGTAGCTATCAATAAATTAGATAATGCTATGTACCAGATTGTGGTCAACAATAAATCACAAAGAAAAATAACATTTAATAATACATACATGTATGTACATAAACATAAACAATAATAAATACGGTGTATGTAAGTTATAAAATGGTCCACCTCTCTTTAATTCAAATTATTTTTTTCCCTCAATGTTATTCAAACACTCGGTAAATCTAAAAACTGCTTGGTCCTCTGAATTGAAAATTATCAAGTGACGACTGTAGCAATTATTTAGAATTATTTGCCACCAATAAAACAATGACAACTATTCAAAAATGAATTTCAGCCCATAGATTAAACCAAGTAATATCCATACCTATTGGCTATTATTAAGTTATTCAAGCGATTCAAATTTGTATGTCAATGAGTAGGAAAAAAAACATGTGTTATAGAATTCAATTAGTTTTTACCTGTAATCATATTTGGTATAAAATCTTTATGTCCAGGCGCATCCAGCAAAGTAACATCTTTAGTTTTTGTTTCAAACTTCAAATGACCTACGTCCATTGTAATACCACGATTTCTATTATTAAAAATATAATATTATAAAAATAAAACATCATATAATAAATTATTACACATAAAATTGATAATTACCTTTCTTCAGCAGTTTCGTCTAATACCCAAGCATAAACAAAACTCTGTTTACCTAACTTTCTACTTTCATGCTCATACTTTTGTATAGTTCGCTGCTGCACATGTCCTAGTTTATATAGCAAATGTCCCATTAAAGTACTTTTTCCTGCATCAACATGACCAATTATAATTAAATAAAGTTGATCCTTGTGAATAGAAGTTGATAATCCTTGATCGTCCCTTACTTTGTTGCTCCTGTTAAAAATGAATAAAATATTAATAAAAATTATATTAAACTATTTATTAACTGTTTAATACTTGGGCGAATTGAATTTACGATCTAAACGTGGTGATCCTAAACGAGCATTTTGAGGAGATCGATTGCGAGGTGTTGCTGCTGGTGAGCATATGGGTGTGCTAAAAGGTGTTTGTTTAGGTGTTGCAATTAAGTTCTTATTTTTTGAACCTGAAAATAAATTATCAATAATTTTAAAACAAAAATAAGTTTGTAAGCTTCTTTATTAATCACAGAAAATGTGCAAGCAAATTAACTTATAGCAGACAATTTAAAATGACTAATGGGGGACAAAGTGGCCAAGCGGACCAAGGCGTCGGTTGCAACGCGCACCGTCGCCATTTTGAAACCCGGAAACGGGCGGCACTTCTCTTCGGGCAGTCATGGTGTCTAGAGAAAGGGGCCACCTAGGCATGGTAGATACCTACGGGTGCCCACAAGAAAATTCTGCCAAACTAACAAACACACGTGTTTAAACCTACAGTACCCTCTCTTATCACAGTTAAAAACCACCCAATAGCCTTAAGTTGCAGCGGGTTAATTAATAAAATGACTAATATACACATATGTTTCACTTTTTTAATATTTGTTACTTAAATGTAGGTACTTGGAAGTTGGAATGCAAAAATCTATACTCCATTCAAGTCAAGAAACACAGTCAGCTGCCGAATTGTGTACAGGGGTGTGGAAATACTACATGACAGATATATAGATAGTTGACTCGGTGGAGGTGACAAGAGGATGTTGCCTGACTGCCACCGATTAAAACTGGTTGCCGCAGACTGTGGTTCTTGACTTAAACAGAGCATAAACTATAGAGCAGCTTCCATTTTGTAATGCAAAAATAGACATGCAAATAATAATTAATATTACTGTATGCAATTATTGCAATACTCTATTATATAATATATAAATATGTATGGTGTACCTGAAATAGATGCATTTCCAAAACCAACAATAATGTTGTCTTTATTTTTTGATGAAGAAGCAATAACAACAGTTGGAGGCCTACTTAACCTGCTCTCAGCAGGTTGCTGATCCTTTACTTTTGTAGCACCTATATAATTTATTATTCAATTATAAATATAATAAATACAAATCATTTAATAAATTTATTAATTGAAAATTATTGAATTTACCAATTTTAGAATTTATTATTTGATCAACTGTTTTATCAATGTTAAATTCATTATTAATCAAATGCCCTGCAACAACATCCTTGGCAAGCTCAAAGCCCAAAACTTCTGTTACTCTTTGTAAACATGAATTTACTTTGGCATCAGTTAAGTCTTGGTCCGAATCAAACTTGGATTTGTGATTAATTAAATAAATTGCTAAAATAATATTCAAAATAAATTAAAACTTGAAAATAAATTTATGAAAGATGGTTAATATTGGGGTTAATATTTACCATCACTTGGAGAAATGCAGTCATCTTCAAATGAATTTGAATAATCATCATCATCATCATAATATTCATCTGGAAATATTTACATGGGTAAGTACTATACTAAAATGTTTCTTTAATTAGGTAGATTGAATTAATTTGCATTCTTGAAATTATAAATATAATTATAAATTATTATTGGAATAATTAAAAATATTATTTGAAAAAGAAATTATTTTATAATAGCACATTTATTATTTCAAGAACTTTCTAGGTTTTGATTGTTTTCAAAGAAAATGATGAATAGCTGTGGATGTAAGTATACTATGTTAAAATAAAATGGTCACTAGGACTTTTTATTATTGGTGGCCAATTTTAAATACTCAACACCAGAACTCTCGGAATGTCAATGTAAGTATCAAAGTTATCGAGTATATAATTGTAATTATTTATTTATTTAGATTTCAAAGTGATACACCGCACTACGAAACACACAGGCCAATGCAAGATTTCTCAAATGCATGAGCAAAACTGTTTGTACATCGGTTCAATATGTTTATATCGAAATAATGATGAGTAATGCGGATCAAGTGGCCTCAAAGGTTTACCGAAAAATCCTTAAAAAGTGTATTGCAAAACCAATTCAGAGATCTGGCGATTGACTGCAGACGAGCGCCGGGTTCCTGGGTATAAAAAATCAGACAGCGGTCACTGTCGCAAGAAAGTTTACCATCGGAATATTGCGTCGTCCGTATGTTCCTGTGGCGAGCCATTTCAGTGGTCTGCGAACGACACCACACTCGGTGCTTTTTTGGCCCACGTCGTGGACACTAGACCTTTGCGTCTACCCCGTATGTAGTGTCCGGTTGTGGTGGCGGTCGTCACCAGACAGACGAGCATTCGAAAGGGTTGATTCCTATTAATTCATGCCAGGTGGACACGTCCGATATCGTGGGGTGAGTATTTGACACTCGACTTCCGTATAACTTCCGTACGGTGTTCCGCCGAATGCCGAAAAACCATTTACAATCTTTGGTTTCGCTTTCACACTTTCACGGTTTCGCGGACTCAGTTGTTCCGTTCAAGTTCAAAGGCCGAACTTGATTGTGTTATCGAATGAAAGCACTCGATTACAACAACACTGTTAACAGTCGCGATAACGATAGTAGCAATGTAGCATTCTATACATAGACCTATTAACTAAAGTACTAACTAAGTCTATGATTCTATAGCACAGTAGCACCACCACTTATCTTCAATAGTTAAATCACATAATAGAGATGATATATCTATTTCATCCATTCTGTGGTTAAATCGTGTATCATAACAATCATAACATGTTGACTGTTGTCATGTTATAAATTTGTTATTCTGTGCTATATAGCACTAGCGCCGTTCTGTCTAAATATAGTCTGTGGTTCTATCTTTATTATTCTATTCTGCATTTCCGTGGTAGACTCAAGACCGGTAGCATTACAGATTGCAGTATTATTATACATTTTACATTTACAGGAAAACAATATTTCGTAATATATGTGACATGGGTAGAAATTGGTTATTATTGTTGTAAATTATAAGTTATACTTATGACTAATGAGTTTATTAGTTTATGACATTGAGTAACACGGTATAACGACATAGTAGCGAAGATTAAATGAAACTATAATAAATTATGGTCCGTGAACGTGTTTATGTGCTATAGTAGTAGGCTATAGCATCAGTACTTCGAGGAAGATACGAAGACACTTTTCCTTAATTAACTGTTAAGATTTAAGAACTAATAATGTCTACGGTTTCTTTCCTATACATTTTAACAGTGTTCATGACCTAAGACGGGCAATGGTAATTATTCTGATTTCTGAAGTGACATTGAGATTGATTATCGATTAATGAGTAATGAGTATATTGACAAATAATCACAAACGTGATCTTCATCACGACATTCAATCCGTCCACATTTTTTAGTATTCTAAAACGACGGAGAAAGGCAGACAGCACTGATCACTGACAAACGCGAAGCCAAAGAGAATGGATCCAATATCGTATTAGATATCCATTATCCGATACCGCAGAGAATGATTTAAGATAATATGTTAATTCATGCCGCAGAGTCGCATGGAGACAGGTAAACAGGTAAACAGAGGGCAGCGGCAGCCGTACAGGCACAGAACAGGTCTACAACAGCAGCTGTCTGGGGCAAAGTAAAAAAAAAAAAAATAATAATAATAATAGTAATAATACAAAGACAACTGACAAGTGTCTGCGGGCTCCCTGATAGCGCGTACTTAGAACTTATAAAATATCATTAATAATTATTATGATATTGTGTAATGTACTAATGTGTACAATAATATAATCGCCCACTATATTATTATAATATTATCATACTTTTCAGTTTTCACTGTTTTCAGTATTCACTATTCAGTATTTCAGTGCTCGGTGGTGTAGGTACTTATTCACGTCGATAACTGATCGACATACCACAGATTTAATAATATAACACATTCTCGTTATTTTACGACCATTTACGACGATTTTACGATAATCATCGACCTTTATGCGACCGTCGCCCGTAGCGACTAGCGAGTGAAGTAGGTACGCCGAAAAACAATAATAAATAATATAACCATTGACACCGAATACAATATTATGGTTGTACCCTGTCAGTGTCTTCTTGTCACTTGAAAATTACTTATTTTTTCTTTTCTTTTTAGTTACATAACAGTGCATAATATCGTAATCAGACACCGCTGCCGCCTTCTTTCGGTGACATTTAACTACAAGTTGTGTGTGTGCTCGGGTGTGTGTTGTGCGCACAAATGTAACATTCCACCAGGACCAAGACAAACAGCATCGCCAGGATGGACGATTCGGGAGACGGTCTATCCTCGACTGGCAGCAGGACGACCGCGCAGAGCTTCAAAGTAGTCCTGTTGGGCGAAGGGTGCGTGGGCAAAACGTCACTGGTGCTACGTTACACCGAAGACAAGTTCAATGACAGACACGTCAGCACGCTACAGGTAGGGCTTGATACATAGTTCGTTGGGCCGATGTTGAAATGTTGTTACAATATAACTGCTCGGGTTTCTGGTGTGTAATCACGTCTACTGGTTGGTATAGGCGTCATTTGTCAAGAAAAAGCTCAATCTCAATGGACGGAGAATAAACTTGTCGATATGGGATACGGCCGGACAAGAGAGGTTTCATGCTTTGGGGCCGATTTACTACCGAATGTCCAATGGTGCAATACTGGTTTACGACATCACCGATGAAGATTCTTTCCAAAAAGTAATATACTATCAACACTTTTAAATCAAGTACCATATTGCTTAAAATCTACCCTTGAGTCTATTTAGTTATTCATAAGTTGTATAATATCTCAAAAACATTTGAAAGATAAATGGTAACAATAAGATTCAGGAAAAAACTAAAAACATTAAACAAGCTCTTAATTATAGGGAGTTGATAAGGTTTCATCATATTAATGGTTATTACTTATTATTGAGCACAATAATAATGTGTCACATCCACTTCATAAAATTGTCTTCTCAAGTGGAAACGGTGTATATAATATTTACAACCAACAATGCAGGAAATGGAAACATTTTTTGCAGTAAACCTAACCTTGATAGTATTACAATACATAAAATATTTAACTAGATATTATATTACACCTTGTCACTGTTTTATTTATTTAAAATTATAGGTAGGTACCTACATATATTTTAGTACCTACATATTCATATAATATTAATTTATTACAGTGTACCTACAATTTTCTATTTATGACAAATATTTAGGTTTAGAATGTCTGGCATTTTTAAAATAGTTAAAAAAAATAAGTTTCTTCAAATAGTATTTAAGGACCTTGGTATGAACTAGACTATCTGCCTGATAATATTGTAGATTATCAAACAGTTTTAGTACTTTTATTAATATCATTCCCCAAACTTCTAAGAAGCCTCATACCTACCTAATTTCAAAAAAAAAAAAAAAAAATGAATTTATAATTTATAAATAACTTTATCTTCACAATATAAAATTAGTAGGTATTACATTTTATGAAATAAATTAAGCTTATACAACAATACATTACAATATGTTTAAATAAATAAAGAACTATAGGTACCAATATAATATTTTTTTGTTACTGATATATATTATATATTATTAACAGTTAATTAATTATTTTAGTGTTATTCTACATCTAATTATTATTGAATTAAATTAACTGAGTTATGAATGGTTTTCAGGTGAAAAATTGGATTAAAGAACTAAAAAAGATGTTAGGAAGTGAAATTTGCCTTGTTATTGCAGGAAACAAAATTGATTTAGAAAAAGATCGTACAGTTTCAGTAGAAGATGCAGAAAAGTAAAAATTCATGAACATTTAAAATATTGACAAAATAATTGACTTTAAATGATGTAATTTTATAGCTATGCCAGTTCAGTTGGTGCTGTACATTTTCATACATCAGCCAAAATGAATTCAGGCATTGAAGAAATATTCTTGAGTCTGTGTCGTATGATGATAGAAAAGGCTGATAAACAAATTGCTGATAATTTAGTTACATTAAATCGGTCAGGAAGCACAAGAAGAAGAACAATAATAATTGACGATGAGGACGATGTGCCATCCAAAGAATCATCTCGTTGGTGTTGTAATAGTTAATTTATTGGTTTTTGCCTTTTTTAATATGGTTTAAAGATACCAAGATTCATGTTTATTATTATATATATATATATTTTTTTTTTTGAGAAACCATTCTGTTCGTGATATTTTTAACTTTTTGAAAAAATTATATTTTTTTACATTAGTTTATTTGCTTATTAATGATTTATTTATTTTTAGTTGATCTTATAATTCACTGATTAAAGCATTAATATTAGTTGTAGGCTAATACAGAATTTTTAAAATTATTTCTTAGAAATTTGTTTTTAGTCTAATAGATAAGATCTAACCAAAATTATTATATCCAGTTACCAATGTGGTTTACGGAGAACAGGGTAAGAATTATTAAACAGAATTGAAAGAAAATATTGGAAAATTATTATTCTCAACACATTTAAGAACATTTTATGTTGACAAAAGTTGATGAATGGGTGGGTGTTTCAAAAAAACTCAAATTGACATGAGATTATAATATTATTAGATAATGTTCTAGCAATCTAGCCACCTGTTCTAATAATCAGTGTTCGAAATGGAAAATTGTATATTTGTATGTACAGAAACATTTATAAAATTAATATGCCTTATGCAAATATGATTAATTAATTTAATATTATTGAATGTTCACTGGTAAATATTTACTTATAATTTTTACAATCTGGAACTCTTTAATTCAAATTATAACCAACCGGAACGGACGCAATGACTAATATAACAAACTAGAACACTAATTCACAGCGTTCTGGCCCATTTCGAGCACTGCTAACAATACTAATTATATGGATCTATTCAACATTTATTTTATTAAATTGGTGTGTTTGGTTTTAAATTACTCTTCGAAGTACTGTATGCCAATATTTCCAATTTATATACATAATCTTGTTGAGTAAATATCTGGGAAATAATAAGGATATTATACAGTTTTACAACTGGTCGTAAACGTGTTAAACTTTGCTGCAAAAAATATTCGAATACTCATAAATATATTTAACATTTTATAATTTATTAACTATATTTATAAAATAATAAAATAAAACTTAGATTATGGAGTCTATTTCTAAGTTCAAACTGTAAGGGAACTATACAGTTAAATAGTATGTAATATTTATATTGTATACTAATATATTTAATTTCTTGTAAATTGTAATCATATACTTTACAAACTGGTATTTGTTATGTTTATGTATATGAGTAATGGAAAAAATAAACAGGTGTAACAGAATAAAAACAAATATATATATTTGAACATTTTTAAATGCGGTCAATTTTTTTTTTTAATTTTCATTGTGTACCAAAATAAACATCCGCATACAACAGAACAACAAAATACAATAATATTATATAAAATAGTATACACGAGGAAAAATGGTATATTGTATATACATTAAAAATATTAATTAATTTGTATTTATATAATTTAAAAAAAAAATAATAATAATAAAATTTATTTAATCTAAAATAATAAAAATTTATGAAATTTGGGTTAGTTGTTTACAAGATCACTATTTTTTTATCATTGCATATAATATAACCAATACAAAATATATATCAGATCTGTTGAGTGGCGAATAATAAAAAAAACAAGTATAGTACAAATTACAATAAAATATAAGTATGAATTTATTATAAAAATAGTAGCTTCTAGACAAAATTAATTAATACTGAATGCTAAATATATATATATATATGTGTTTATGGTATGAATAAAAGCAGTTATTTTTGTAGGTATTTATAATATTCAAATTAATTAGTCTAAGAAAAAATGTATCACTATTTTGAAAGTTTACTTATAACTCGAATTAAAGCACCATTTTCGTCTTTTAACCTCTGATTTTCTTGGCGTAACAGTTCCATTTGCTGTAAAAATGAATAACATTAATTATAAATAAGAAATCATAAACAAATTCTGAATATTTAAAGAAAATCAAAATAAGCTTTCTACAGTACAACATAAAACTGTTAAGTTTAGCAAAATTTAAGCTAATGTGGTTCGTTTATTTAAATTAATGCACATTTTGCATTTCTAACAGTTAAGCATTTAACTGATTAAGCATATTTATTTTAAAACAAGGTTTCCATGTTTGAACAAAACACAATAATAAGCTAAAAATTAAAATCTAAAATAAATAATAAAACAGAAGTTAAACAAATAATATTTTGAAAATAACTACATAATGTTTATTATCACAACATAGTTTTAGAAACATTTTTAAAAACGAAACTCTGTTAGATTTACAACTACTAAGTTATATTAGACAATATTATAACAAGGAACCTTCATCCGCACATGATGTCTCATCATACTAACGTACATTAGAGTAAATTTCGGTACTCAAGAAACTATTTTGTGATGTAATTTTCAATAGTATGTTGACTTGGCCTATTAGCCTAAGAATATTAACAGGAACGATCGATAGGCATTTATTGATAATTCAAATTTAAAGTGAACTATATGAGTTATATAACTATATATATATAAAATATTAAAATTTTAATATGCTTATAACACGCTTTAAAATAAAAATACCAATAAAAGCCTAAAAGAGATGCATTAGAAAATATTTTAAATTTGATAATTATATATTCCATATTATACCAAATAACTATATACTAAACAAGTGGGTAGTGTATTAGTTTTAACCATAATGTTGAGATTTATAAAGTATGATCATTGAAAAAGCTCAAACAAGTTTTATACACAATTGGTGAAACAAAAATTAATTGATTAGTAGACCAACTGGAATGGGAATTCACAAACACACTGAGCATAAAAACAGCACACATCACAATTCAATGTCGCACATTATCTACATACATAAAAAAAAAAAATGAAGTGTTCGCATTATCAGGTATGAGTAAGTTTAGAAACGACTCTGGTAAGGGCTCTGTTCTCAGTTCGGAGCCGTTCATTTTCTGCTTTCAACTTTTGCAATTGCTAGAGAACATAAACTCAAGTGTAAGCTCTAAATATTTTCTAGCACAAGTAGCAACATTGATAATAAGTCTATTTTTATTTGTAGACTGGCCTAGACATTTATTTTATTTGAATTCTCTCCATCGCCAAAAAAATAAAATACACAATTACCTTGAGTTCCTCTTCCATCTCTGACAGTTTTCTCTCCATAGCCCGCCTTTCACGTTTTTCCGTTTCCGATAATGTCGTGCTTTTTCCAGCCTGAAACATTCATTTGAATCATCAACAAACAAGAATATTATTAATCACAGTTTAGATTCGTTTGCAGTGATTGCTAATAATGTTTCTTACATTGGTCGATTGTTTTTCTATAGTAATTTTTGCTTCTAGTAGGTCTTCCTCAGTCTTCTGTAACTGTCGCCTCAATCGTTCGTTATCTACGACTACTTCTTCGTACAACTAAATCGACACGGAATAGTGAACAAACAGAATATTATTTTAACGCGACAATATTAATACTCACAGCTTTGTAATCGATGTCGCCGTTTTCAGAACACGAGCCGGGAGAATTTGCAGCACTACTGTGTTTACTGTCTAGTGATGACGATATTGAACCGAGCCGCGACGTCGGATTCGATTTGGTATCTCCACCGCTCTGAAACCATAAGGCAATAAGAAACAAGGAACAAACAGTGCCGGATCTAAGTCTCAGGGGGCCGGGGTGCAACTACCAATGGAGGCCCCTTAAAAAAAAAATTTCTTGACTTTACAATTATCTATTTATTTGATACGTTTTGTCGTATTGATATATTAAACAAACTAAAAAACACAAAATTTAAATTCCATAATTTAATAGGTAAATAAAATTATGAAATTATACATTCACTCACTGTTCTCATATCTATTATACCACGCTTAGATATTATGATGTATTAATCATTAATGTATGCTTCTATGCTAGTATAATATAAATTAAGAATAAATATCATTAATATGATATTGGCTGTATATTCTCTATATTGTCCTAAAATGAAAGGACCCAAATATGAATCAGGTACCTCAGTTACCTGAATTGTATACAAAATTATTCATCAATCCTTTATATTTTTTTAATTCATTGTTTTGAACATTTTTCTCCGTCTTTTAGATGCAACACTTTCAAATTGTCTGTTAGACGTGTTTTTTTTTTCAAAAGTCAATAAAAGATAGTGTAGGTAGGTACCTAATTTTTATTTTTAATAATCAAATGAAAAATTAATATAATAGAGTAGGTACTCAAAAATAAAACTGACAAAAGTACAAAATAACATATCTGAAACCAATAACACTGCATCAAGGCGAAGGCATGTCCGTAAATCATAATCCATTTATATTTAACAGTATTAATATTAAATACATATAACCAAGGTTACATTATTAGTTTGTCCAGCAAGATACTGCACTAGCGCGAGTTCACGAGCCTCTGAGATTAAATATATAGTACGATTATACGAAAATAGTATACGATTCATAAGTACTATATAATATAATTAATGAGTATACAAATAAATATGTAAAACAAACAATAACAATGATAAATAGTATTATTTATCTAAAATTCAAACCGTCCAAAATAAATGTTTGTCACTTGTCAGTAACATCTTAAAATAATAACATTTGTTCATTTTATAATAAAAAGTTATAGAAAGTTAGAAAATTTAGGACTTTAACCTTAGGCCCCTAATACAACCTTGGTCTTGAGGCCCCGGTGCAATGCACCCCCTGCACCCCCGCTAAATCCGGCACTGGGAACAAACCAACAACAGTGAAATATTAATTTCGTAAATACAGTGACAGTAAAACACTGACAACGATGACACACGTCCACCGATTGATGGCGATTTCGGGATTTTTCAAAGGGAAGGGAATCATGAATGCCTGCAGACATTTTTCTAGGGAGTATGAGGAGCAATCTTCAATATTTATATTTTCTACCCAATATATAATATAATATGAAAAGTAATGCCATTACGTCTCTTTTGTCCGATTTTCAAAAGACATGTTCTTAGGTATTCATTGTCGTTGAGCAAAATCGATTAAATAAAAAATAACCACAGTTCACAAAAGTTAAAATAATATAATATGCAATATGTAATCAATTGACGATCCACATGCACTGTATGTGCAATTTGTAACTACGTAATTTTCAATAAATTCCTTATGTTTTTAAAGGTTTTCTACAGTGGGTTATTTTTAGACATATCATAAGTGACGAAATCACATGATTTATTCGATTTTTAATTACTACAACTTCAAATGCACGGGATTATTTTACACTAATTCCTATGAACACTACTTACTATTTTAGATTTTTATTAAATAATTATTATAATTTTTATTATCGTTTGACTAACCATTAGGCACTATAGGCAATCAAATTGAGAGCAAATGTTTTCAAAGGGCGGTTTGCGTTTGGGCGAATTTTTATAAAATGGAATGTGTTTGGGCGAGTGATTTTAAAACATTGTAATGTGTTTGTGCGATCTTTTTTAATATACCTACTGGGATGCTGTATTTTATCAATCCATTTTCTCTCATTTTGTCAAACTTGGGTTGTCCATGAATTCCACGGGTATGATTTAAAGTGGATTGTTTTTTTTTTATGTGTGCGATTAAAAATTGAAATGATGCGCCATATTTAGATTGATATAAAATTCCCTATAGATTTTATCTTAATCTTTACAAATTTACAATTTTATCTTTTATATTGTATTATACTCACCCAAACATACTACTTTTATTATGTGGGTTAAAAGGTAATTTGCCCAAACGCATGACGCCCGTTTTAAAAGGCACCCAATATTAATATTACCTAATGTCTATTATAATAGAACAATATGGAAGCTATTATCCCAGTCAAATAAAATAAAACTCCTAACACCAAGTTAGAGGGTAATAGGGTATCCACACTGGTGGGCCTCCCACCTCACGCTATTCGTGTTTTTACCTTCTTTGTTATCAAATTTACTTATTGTTTTGTATAAATATTACAGGTTGTAAATACTTATTTTTATCTAATGGAAAAAAAAAAAAAAATTAATTTTATTATAGATAAGTGAAAGCATGTTTTTGGGCGAATTGCCTTTTACCCGTCTAATAAAAACGTGTTTTGGCGAATTCCTTACATTATGTTTCAGCGAGTATCATACAATATACTAAATACATAAAAGATAAAATTATAAAGATTAAGATAAAACTAAACTCGTTATAGTGTTAGTTAATAGTTATTAGTTATTACTTATTACTAAGGCCCGGATGTTGATAACTTTTGCATCTTTGTTTGGAACACCATGGACGATGGTTTCATAGCTTAAAATGTGTTTCAATAACATCGGTACAAATCTAAACAACTCATTTTTATTTTGCATTTTAGTGTAATTTTAGATTATGATAGGAACGGTGAATGTATTGATTTTACAATGATGTGTGTTTTTTTAATTTTTTTTGTGTCTGTCATCACCTTTTAGGACAGTAAAAGGGCTTAGATTTTCCTCAACAGTATGTTTTCTGAAAGGAAAGTGGATCTAGTTGGTACTCTGGGGGGTCAAAAGTATAATTTTTCCAGTAGTTTTCAAAAGCACCGTGAAAAACAAAAGAAAAATTAAGGAAAAACGGGAATTTTTATGCAAAATCTGTTTTCGGTTTTTGGTGCTACTCTTAAAAAAATGACCGTAGGTACATGGAATGTTGACTGAATGTTTATATTAGCATTTTCTACACACCATAACATTTTCCAAATATTTTGAGCTGTTTACGGACATTTTCAGTTTCCATTTTTGTAGTTTTTTTTCTATAAATATCAATAAAATTTTATTTGTTGGTTAAAAAAGCTTAACAATTTAATTGAAGGCGCCTAGTATAATATTTCAAAGGCAGATAAAAAAAATAAAAATCCAGTCACAATTTTTTTTATAAGCATTTTAAGTTTAAATATTGACAAAATACGTAAAAATATGAAAATTTGCAAATTATTTTGAGTTAGAAATTAATAAAAAATGTTCTTTTTAAATCTAAGATTTGAAAATGTAATGCAAGATTCCTAATAAGTTTGTTTGCCTTTATCAAAAAAAAAAAATGTCTACAAGAAACTCAAATTAAATTCTTATGAGGTTGGAAATTCATATTAGTACATATTCACTCGATTTCTCATTTAAAGATTTTCTTATTTTATTGTAATTAAAAAACGAATGACTGTAGATACTTGAAAATTTCACTGAATGTTTATATTAGCATTTTCTATACACCATACAATTTTTAAAATAATTTGTCTCTTTTTGAACTGTTTACGGACATTGTCAGTTTTCAATTTTTTTAGTTTTTTTTTTCCTATAAATATCAATAAAATGTTATTTTTTAGGTAAAAAGCGTGAACATTTAATACAAGGCTATATTGTTACAATAGCAGTTGAAAAATATTAAAACTACATAGGCACAATTTTTTTTATAAGCATTTAAAGTTCAAATTTTGACAAAATTTATCACGTTTAAAATTTAATAATAATTTTGTAGTTAGAAATTTATAAAATGTTCAACTTTTATAGTTAAGGATTGAAAATTTAAAACAAGATTCCACATAAATAGATTTTATATAAATTACTTTAGGTATTCACCTTAATATCATCAAATATACTTAGTAATATCATAGGCTGACTGACCGTTTTCGCTCAGAATCGTTTTTCTTATACAATGATAGTATATCATTGAATTAAAATTTAACACCATCCATTACAGTGACCCACTTTAACCTACAGCAGCGAGACATCCACTTACCCACCTTTTTTACGTTGTAGTAAATTTTTACCAATAATTTTATATTCAAATCGAATAAAACACAACTTTATTACGTCAACTTTACGTTACTATAACGCGGTAAACTTTTTAACTTTAAATTTTAACTTCAACAATTTTCTGAGAAGTAAGTATGTAGGTCATTAATATATAACAATTTTCAAGGCATTTTTTTTTGTTTTATATGTCATAAATGTATCTTTTTTAGAGCATTAACATTCTGGCCCTAGTTACTACGGAGGTTAGTGTACCAAATATGGATATGAAATTGAAAACATTTTTACTACAAAACAAAATAAACTGAATTTCGATTTAAAATTATGTTTTTAGTGAATTTAACCACTAGAAAAACACATCTTGTCGTTTACCCATGGAATTCACGGATAATCCCGACTCCCGAGTCTGTCGTAATAAGAGGATTGATAAAAGCTCAAAATATTATCACAGGATATTAAAAATAGTCTCCCAAACACAGCAATTTTTACAAACCAGCTCAAACTCATACCGCCCAGACGAGTGCAGCCCATAGACATAATTATATCAATATATTATGGACTGCGCATCACCCGTACCAATATACCTTGATATAGGTTTCGTGCAAAAGCACACATTTTTGGTAAGAACCAAGAGATAGTCAATACCTGTGTAGGTGATGGGACCTAAAGTGAATGCTATCATTACTCCTTAATCTGGCACCGATTTATGGGTAGATAATACATTCAACCGTAATTCACAATACGAAGACTGATAGGTAGATCAGTAGATGACTCGTTATATTTAAAATGGTGCCGGAATTTTTTCTGTACTTGACAGAAGTGATAAAATTGATTTTTATTTTAATTTAACTGTTATTGAATTTATTCAATATTACACAAATCATCTTAAAAAAACCATATATAAACCCACTTTATGTGACCGGCTTGGTATAATATATTATCATACAAGTTTAGTTTGCTTACCGCGTAACCCTCTGATCCGTAGCTCTTACTAGACGCCAACGAGTTTGACGAGTCGAATCTGGTCAGCGGACTTTGGTAGAAGTTTCGTTTGAGGGAGGTGTGGGGGTGGCGGGACGATGGTGAGGCGTGCGAGTGGCGGGATGACGGAGAGGCGTGCGAGTGGCGAGAAGACGAAGAGGCGTGCGAGTGGAGCGACGAGGACGGGGACGCAGTCCGGCCAGAATACGACGAAAAATTGGGAGACGACGACGACGGGGCTATGGTTAGGCCACCGTATCCGGATGCGGTGCCGCCGTACGTGGACGTGGAATATGAAGGAATGGTGGACGAGTAGGATGACGTGCCGAGATAGGGCGCGGACAGGCCCAGGGACGAGTACATGGCACTGTTCCGGGACGGAGAACTGTAAACACTCCTGGGCCTGGCGTAAGAGGACGTCGACGAGGACGACGGTCGGGACTTTCGGATGTTGTTGGTATAAGAGCTCATGGCGAATCTGCGAGGTGATGAGACGCGGCTGAGCGGGACTCGTTCACCGGCGGACAACGTGCGGCGAAGTACTGAAGTCTGAAATCACCGCGCAGCAGCGAAGACTGGCGCACAGCAAATAAACGACGTGTCGCGTGGAGCAGAGGCCGCCGTATATACAGTGACCGTGATCTATTTTGGGGTCTAATGAAAAGGCCCGGTTTAAAAAAACGTGCCCTTAGCTGCGGCGTGTAGTACGCGGTATATATTATTATTATTATTATTATTATTATACGATTATTGTTGTGGACGTTTACGATGTGCGTAGCCGAACGCTCGTGGGAGAGGGGGCGGGGAGGGTCACCCGTGGCCAGTGGACGACAAAATGCGGCGGCGGCGTTCATGTTCGGGGTAATAATAAAAACTTTTATTTTAGAAATCGCGCATGTATTGTTTTTAATTCGTTTAATACGGCTTTGATTTGACGGAAGCCAACTTTAAAATAAAAATAGAATTTTACTACGGAGAACATTAGCTGAATCGAAAATAGAATTGCATACATATGCAATAGAGAAGGCGTTATTTGACATAGGACTGACTTATTGTAGCCGTTCTAAATAAATGATTGAAGGAAAACTTAAAGTTGCCAAAAATATCAAACGACACATTACTCATTAGTCAAACTTTTCACCGTACATCCAAAAACAATAATTGGAAAAACCCCAACTTTTAAGTATTATAATAATAATAATTTTTTTTACTTCATTAAACTTGTTCTACATACATGACTGCTATTATGCACTGACATAAAAACACTTTATTTATAATAATATGACAACCATTAACCAAAGTGTTATCCATAGTCTCAATATACAAACTTATTTTTTTTAAATTTAAATTTAAAAATATAATATACTATTATAACAAACATACCTCTCCGATACTATCATCGGTACCGCCACAAGAAGAGGTATCTTGTCTGTCTGGATCAATTTCGTCCAAATCAACGTGAACCACTCCAGTAGATCTTCGCTTCGGCCTTTTCCTTCTTTGTATAACTGCTTGAGTGGCCTGGTGATTGCGGAATTCATTTTCTTTATCTTGATCTGTATAAAAAGAATAACATCAAATACATACTTATATTAAATCAATAAAATCAAAACATGATTCCTTCAATAATTAGTAAGCTACATGAGGATAAAAATGGAATTTAACTATGAACTTAACACACATTTACTACACTATTTACACTTAGTGGAATGTGTACTAAATTAAGTAGCTTATGATGCTAGAAAACAAAGATAATGATGAGTTGGATATTGGCCAGAATTCACATTCAATATTTATATATATACATCATAACACCAATGACGTCAATTAGATGTCGTATAAACTTAACAAAAATCACCTTTATCGTCAATTTCTTTAGGTGAAGGACGCCTTAATGGTAACGTGACAGTTGTATCTGCGCTAGTATCAGGAGATGACGGAATGTGTGACTTTGTTGGAGGTTTTGGAACTGCTTCATTAGATCTAGCATCTTCAAGCAAAAACTGTAAAATTCAAGTGAAATAAACATGTAATTAAAAATACGTAATAAAATTAAGATTAAGAACAGAAACACATCAACACAGTGCAAAGCACATTATTAGACATAGCAAAAAACAATACAACTCTAGAGCATTTTAAATCATCAAAAAACTAACAATTCAAACGGGACCATAAATTCCTCTACACACAGAAATGTCAACAAACCTTGCTGCCGTTTTCGACCCTAAGTCTCCAAGACGGCCTCCGTTCCAAACAGCTATCTGGCATGTTAGATGGAATATTTCGGGGCAATGGAGTAATCGTAGCCGTAACAGTTACATGCTCTTCTTTTTTAGCCTGACAAATTATTAAACTAGATAGTAATAACGACGTATAATAGACAATAGTACCTATTAAGAAGAAGGTACCCTTCAAAGTGAGTAAAAATTCCCAAGATGTAATTTACTATCATAATTAATTAATTTTTACCACATTAACATTATATGTACAAAGTTTCAGATTGCACCAATGAATAACTATGCATCAGTAAATCACTGTTATAATTCCTGAAACTCATTAACTCGTGATACCAATTATTTATAATTATATTTGTATAATGTTAAATAAAAATGTTTTGATAAAAAAAAAAAAAAAACACAATGTATACTGTTTACAGAGCTTAGAATATTTTTAAAATACTTGTGCATTTTAAAAACAATAATGGCTTTCCTTTGAAAATTGTTTTTATTAATTTTTTATTTTATCATACATATTTCAAAAAATAAGAATTTTACTTCATCAAAAGGTAAACAAAATTATTTTATAGTGTAAAACTGTTAAGTGTAAACACTATATACTTTTTAATGATGTACGATGTAGCTAGAAATAGGTTATGCTATAAAACTTTTCTATTCAAAGGTTAAGATAATTAAATTTGAATAAAAGGTTTTGAAAATATTATGTTCTGATTAATATTATAAAATATAAACTATAAGTGGATGATACAATTAATATAAATGTAAAAAGAGCTACTTAAATTTAGCATTGATTTAATTTTAAAATAAATTTTATGTGTAAAGTAAAATTTGAATTGAATTTATTATTTTAAACAGTTTTCAAATTCATAAGAAATGCAAGTATAATGTATACATAATATACTTAATGTATATTTTTTGGTAAAACTGTTCTAGTATGAAAATGTTTTTATGGTTCTAAAATTAACACCGTAGATGTTCTATTATATTATACTTATTTTTATTTGGAACTAAAAATGGGTCATAAGAATATTGAAATTTAAAACTTTCAATATTTTGGCAAATTTTCAAAACTTTGGTATACATGAACAATACAATATATAATTATTTGTTTTATAAGTGATTGTTTATAATGACAACTTAAAAATGAATACCTAAATCTTACATTTGCAGTAAATTGATTGGTATATGATAAACATGTGATATCAAAGAAAGTGTATAACTTGTGGGATTGTATAATTTATTAATAATCATAAATGTATGACATTATTACGATAAAAGTAAGGTTAAGATCTGACGGAAAAATTCCATAAAATAAATAATTATACACCAGCAGAAATAACAGCAAAATGAGAATAAACCTAATAAACAATGTTCTTTGATTTGTAGTTTGTGGTTTATATTATTAAAATATAAATACCTATTTCAAAAGTAAACACAAATCCACTGAGGGTAGATCAACAATTTATTATTTAGAAGTTCTACTTGAGGGTTTTTAAATTTTAAAGTTTTTATTTATATAATATATATTATTATAAATTATAAATTTTAAAATGATGAATTATGATGTAAAATGGTAAATAAGTTTTTAATTTTAAAAGTTAATGTAGATTTATAGTATACATAAAAAAGGTTGGCAGGTCTAATTATGTTTAAACTATACCATTGGATACATCTAATGCAGTAAAGCCCATAAGTTTTGTCTCCGTCTTACAAACATACAACATAGCACTTTTTGTTAAGTGAAAAATTGAAAAGACATTGTTTAATATATAATATATAATTGCAAAAACTGGTTTAATAAAAAAAAAAGGTGAAGAAACCCTTCTGTATAATAGGCATCAAGAGTTCATTGAGTAAGTCACTGCAATCTATGTGTTAAATTTGAATTCAATGATAAATAAGTGTATAAGTAAGAAAAATGATTCTGAGCGGAGATAATCTGTGACCCTCTACATTTTGAGGATATTTTATTAAATATTTATATTAATAATTAATTATTCAATTAGTAATACGGTAAGTTGAGCTAATTTTTGCAAAAAAACAAATTGCATATTATTTTAAATAATAAATAATAATAATTATAATCTTACTTTATGTAATATTACTAAGTATCTGTTATTAAATGTTAAGTAAATAGAAACATACCTTAGAACGGTGTAAAAAGGTTCATTGTATAAATAGCTTAAAATGAATCTAAAATATATTTTTTTAAATTTCAATGCTTTATAAATATAAAAATAAATAATAACAAAAGCTTGAATAACAAAAAAAAAACTAAAATCGTTACTTTTCATTTAATATTATCCAATTTACAGTCTTATCAAAATTTAAATCTCAAATGTTTAAACATTTTGCAATTTATGTATTTTTAAAATTGTTGACAAAATGTAAACATTATTATCAATATTTATAGAAAAAACACTAAACATATTAGAACATTTCAACTTCCAACCTTCATTTAAAACGAATGTGGGTGCACATTCAACTTTTTATCTTATGTTTAGTAAGAAAAACTAATGAGAACATTGTAATAAATCAAAGGTTTATGATGTATATAAATAGCTCAAAAAGAGTTACATGTTTTGAAAATTATACTATGTCTAGAAAATGCAAGGTAATATAAATATTTTATGAACATTTTAAATCTACAATTATGGAATTTTTAAAAACTGTTGTGTTAATATTTTTGTCTTAAAGTTTAGTTTCAAAAAAAAAGTACAGGGATTTTTACTTTTAATCCCCCTAAGTATTTGAATATTTGACTAACTAGATTCAATTTGCTTATAGATACCACTTTCAAAGTTAAAGATTGAAAACTACTGCTCTAAAACATGATAACAGAAAAAAAATAATAATACAACAAACACACACAAACACTTCATTGTAAAACCAATGCATTCATCGCTCCGCTCAGAATCTAAATTCTAAAACATTAATATTATACTAGTATCAATGGCGGCTTGTGTATTTGTTCACGTGAACTATCTACCCAAACTCAAGAAAAATGGAAAACATAAATCATAATAATACTACATAATACTAAATAGTACTTTTAGTGTTACTAAGATTATTTTTAAAAATAAAAAACATAAATTCAGAATATTATGAAAATAATAAAATATATGGATTGGGTTATTTCGATGGCCAAACAGCCGGACGGTTGTCAGCAACGGAACGGTATAGGTGTGTATTATAGAGGTGCAGTAGTGCACACAATTGCTGTGCACTTTTGTACAGTATAAAAATTAAAACAAGTCAAAACACACAGCCCGCATTATAATGGAATTGATGTGCACATTGTGCACATTTGTTCTAATTAAATTGTTTTCAGCGAATTATTTTTGACGTCGCTGCGCCGCTGAGCGTTGGCATAGCCATTATAATTTATTTTTACTCTCATTCGTTTATTATATTCCGTTTATCAGCTGATAATATTTGTCGATCATTATTGGAAATTCAAAACAACAATAGTGTTTTTGTTTAAAAATATAAACAAAATAAACGTTAGTTGGTGAATAACTAAAATTTGTAAAAAATTATTTAATACAATTTATAATATATATATATATATATATATATAATATTGGTTCTATTTGTTTTGGATGTGAACTACTTCATTAAAAGCTCACGAACCGCCACTGACTAGTATACAAATACTATAAAGTATAAACACATACATCTATGACACACTACACATTTATATATGTGTTTATTAAAAGTTAGCTTATAAAGATATAAGTATAAACTATAAAACAATTATACATAAAGTTTGAAACAATAGAATATGTAGTGTTTTTAAAAATTTAAAATCCTTTTTTGTATAAGTTTGTCAAAATTGTAATTGCCAATGCCCATAAAATTTAATGTGACTACCAAGAACAACTAGTTAGAATTCACTTATTACCTTTTCAAGCCTTAAATATTAAAATTAAGAATTTTATAAATATTTAACTACAAAATAGTTTTGTACATTTTCACAATTTGTCAAAATTTGAAATTGTAAAGTTAAAAAAAAATTTCTAACCAACTGTATTTTTGATATTTTTTAATTTCTTTAAGAACAAAACAACTTTACATTTTTTGAATTCTTTGATAATTTTAGCTACATTAATTCAAAAATAATTTTTAAAAATGTATTGTTTTAATTGGACAAATTTCAATTGTTTATAAATAACTCGAAAAGAGCAAAAATTGAAAACTTAATCATGTCTAGAAAATGGTATAGAATAATCTGGATCCAAATCTGCCACTAACCGCAAATAATATTTAAGTGGGTTTTCTGATGTGAAAATTACTACAGACAAAAATAATACATCTTAGTAATCTTGGTAAAATCATTGATGGGCTCAAAATCTAAAATACTACAGGATTGAACAACAATTTTATTTTCAGATTGAAAATGTACCAGGATTGTCAAGTTATACATATTATAATATATTATATTGATATAAAATTATTTAATTGCAACTGATTTAAATCCACTAGATTTTAAAGGATAAAAATGGGTAATAAATACATTTTTATATAAACATTTTACTTACGTGCGGTGTTCCAATATTGTTTGTGGAGTTATTATTTGTTTCCACTTGAGAGTTGCTTAATTTGCTTTTGCCAGTATCCTGATTTTTTTGCTTAACAATTTGTTCTGCAGATTTTAGTTCTTCTAAAGTCACTCCTTGAGTGGAACGTCTAGTTTCTCGAACACGTTTAGCATGTGCTTTTCGTTGAGTTTCTGATTCGTCATCTCTAACCGGAGGAACAAATGACCTAAATTAAAAAAAAAATCTTATATTAATGTTATTATTTAGAATGTATAATACAAAAAATATTAAAATTAATACACAATGCTAGTTCAAAATGTACAAAACAAATATTGATAATGTGGTTAGATAAAACATAACTCAAGTTTTATTTTAAACATAAATTAATAACTATAGAACTCGGAATCCATCACATAATATCAAATTATCAAAATATATATAAAATATTTTACATATTATAGTATTAATAGTTATATTAATTTAATCAATAAATATTTTACAACTTAATTATAACAGTACTCTTCAGACTATAAGTAAACAATATTAGACCATTATATGTCAGCTTCAAGGGCGTCTATCAATCAGAATATATGGGGGTGACAATATCATAAAAAAATACCTAACTACTTACCAACCAAATTGATTTTATTAAATAACAGAAAACAACATAAATAAACGATGTACCTATATAATATGTCATGTATTATAATATCATCAGTAAAAATCAATCAGTTTATTATTTACAACAACCAAAAAATTACAATAATTTCGCATTTGTCTAGGGGGTGACATGTCACCTCCTTACACCCCTTATGGGCGCCCTTGGTCAGCTTTAACTAAAAATGTATTAGTTACAATTTTTAAGTTTAAATAGCTGGTTCCGCTCTGTTATAGAGTATACTTTGTCATTGAGTAAGTCACTGTAATGGATGTTTTCAATTTGAATTCAATAATAAATCATTGCATAGAAAATGATACTGAATGGAAATAATACTAAGTATAATCGATTCTGGATTTGTATAAGTATTATAGTTTGTATAATATTTTATGCTATTTAGCTATTATTATATTATTTATATGGTAAAAATAATTTTTTTCCAAAACCATAGAATTGATTATATTATCAATTATTATAATAGTATATATTTATCATATATTATTGTTATTAACTTTAAGTTAATAAAAAATTACAGTAGAAGGGTACAAATAGGTTAGGAAATCACCCTCAAAGTTAAATATTGAAACATTTTATAGTAGATAAAATTATATACACAATACACATACGATACACAAAAAAAATACACAATTATCACTCCACTCAGAATATAAAATAAAAATTATAAAATTTTAACAAAAGTACACTATATTACTTCAAAATCAAGGAAATCAAAATATTTTTTGATCAATTAAAAATGTTGTTTATAGTTTAATTGGTTGGTAATTAATTAGTATAAATATTAAATTAAAAGTAAAATAAAATGGTTTTATGGTGGTGAGAGGTTATGTTAAACTTAAGTTAAATTTCTTATGTGTTTTTAACAACATTGGCTCTTTCAATTATTATTTATTATTATAAAATAAGAACTACTAAAATAGTATTACCTATATGTATTTATTAATGATTATATAAGAATATTCTACTTAGAACTTTTAATATAATAATTAAATATTTAAATTATTATAAATCAACAATAATCTAATATTTATGTTTGGATTCCAAAGCTCTGGTAAAATTAAATATGTCAATAAGCAGATGTCACAGAAATAATGTTATTTTATAAACCAAACAATAATTTACTATTCCAAGAACAAACTTGAAAAAGTTTTTAAAGATGTTCCCGGGGACTATTTTATGGGTTGTTTCTGATTGTTTCTGTTGCATTTGGAGACCACTGATAAATGCTTTGACACCACTAATAATATTAAACATAATTTATTGCTAGCTTTACATTAAATCTAAAAATATGATTAGATAAATTAAAATATATGGAATAATGTAAATTACTTAAATTGAAAAAAAATAATAAAGCATAATAAAGCTTAATTAAAATTTTTCTTTGATTTAATAAAAAAAATTAATAGAAATTTTATTTATAATGATTACACAATAAGAAAATGTATTTGTATTTATTTAATTTATTGAAATATTAGAATATTATTAAATTTTTTTTTCAATAAAATCTAAACATCATGCAAACATAAAATTATATTTTCCATTTGCCGCCTAGCTATGCCACTGATATAATATACAGGTGTGTGTTTATATCGAAGTTGACAAATATTCATTGAAATAACATTTAAATAATATGTTTTTTTTGTGATTCACTCTGAACATTCTTAATTTATTAATCATTTATCAATAAATAAATATACTGTTTGTAAGTAGAATAAAAAAATACTTAGATTAATATTGTATTACAAAAAGAATATAATCTATTATAAAATTCAATTATTGATTTGACGGTTTGAATTTTAGATTATTACTCATTATTTGTTATTGAGATAATATAACAAAGTCAATAAGTGAATTCCATTATTTTTGTTTATGGTCATATAGATAAACTATAAAAAAAAATAATACAATTCCGCATCCATCTTGGACATTCTTGATGCTTTGGACTTTGGTTGACAAAGTCAAAATTACATTGGCTATTTAAGTTATTGTTATTTTAAGGAACACTTCATCAACAATTGTATTTATTAATTTACTTTGAATTTAGTCACCTAATCCAAAAAATATTATGAATTTTAATAAATATGGATATCTAATACAGTAATATATTCACAAAATTATATTATGAAAATATTAAATAGAAAAAATGTATAGATGAGGACCATACTTAAAAACTATAACTTAACCAATATATCAATCTTTAATAATCAGTGGCGGTTCCTGGTTTCTGTTGGTAGGGATGTGACTTCAATATGATATCTTGTCATAAGTATAAAAATTTAAATATATAATACATAATATAATATTACTTTTTAACTTTAAATGATATTTGTCAAAGTGGCTGCAGTAGAAAACAAATCTATAATATTAAGTCAAAAGGATGTATAATAAAATTGTAGTAAACTATTATACTTGTATAGAAATATTGATATGGAAACAATATATTAATATGTCTAAAAATACTAATAGACAATAGCACCAACAATGATGAGCAAATACGTATTTAATTTAAAAAATAAATGACCTACTATAATAATATTTTACCCAAATGGACGACACTGCCGGTCGTCCAAAACGCATACATAAGATCGCGGTTTAAACTACCCAAACTTACATATTATGCTTCTTCATTCAGAACAACTCGAATTACAATATTTTTCGTCCAAACATTGCAATTGTACCTGCATACGCTCCTAATTTCTGAGAGAAACAATTCAATGTTCACACACAACAAAAAGTATTATAGTTAATATACTTTTATTCAAAAATTGGAGTATTAATAAAAATTCTATTTCAATTTGTATAAAATGTATTTTCTCATCCAAGCCACAAGCCGCCACTGCTAATAATACTAAGTATAGTGTCAAAATTCACAATTTTTCACTCAATTTTTGTAAAATAATAGTTTGTAATTTTTGTAGAAATATAATATTATTGTTCATCATTATTTAGTATTAAATATCTATGAAAAACAGACTAATATATTATTAGATGTGTAATCAGTATAATGTTTAGAAACTTTTTATAACTAAATTTAAGTATAAAAGTATAATATACTAAAATAAAAAAAAATATCCTATCTTCAATTTAATTCAGAACTATTATCTAAAACAAAAAGTATAAACATTTCTTATTAAAATTTTACCTGCGAATATTGGGAGTTGGATGTGTTGTATCATTTGAATTCAAACTGCTCTGAGCAGTTGCTAAATTTGTTTGATCGTCTCTAAAATTACTTTTGTTCCGCCTAAAAATAAAAAAATAAAATCAATTTTATCAAATAAAAAGTTTTAGTAGGTGTCAAAAACATGTACCTTCTCAATTTATAATTTCAGAGATTACAACTTTCAAATATTAAAATATTCATATCATCAATTTACAATACCTTGATAGAGGTTTTTCCTTTAATGAAGCAGTTCTCATAGGAGGTGAAGCACATGCTGTAGATGGAGAAGGATGTATAACTCCCCACAAGTTACCTTTAATTTTAGCACGTAACTCACAATAACGTCGATAAAACCTGCTCAAATACAGACACACAAAGCGTGCAAACATAATTATGTTAATTCACACATTCTACATTTAATACTTCAAACATACATTATTAGTAACTGAATACATAAAATAAGTTACTACTAAGATAAACTTGTAACCACATAATATAATAAATACTAAAAAAAAAAAAATTAGGGCTGTCCTGCACGAATGTTTTAACTCAGTCTTACTAAAACATAACATGGATAATTTAATATTCATGTTAAAAGCAAAATTTGATATGTTATGCATTGGTAAAATGGAGATAACACAAGCGGCAATGGCATAGTTATGGTTGATGATAGATCCCCCCCTCCCAGAGCTTTTAGATTTTGAGTGGATCAATAAATGCATTGTTACAATGTGTTTTTCTAAATATTTTTTGTTTCTGTATTTCTGTAATTTGATGATGGCTTTTTATAGAAAATTGAATCTAGGTTGTACTTTTAATAGGTAGAAATTTAAAAACCACAGAACTGTTTTAATTAATCAAGAAAAACAAAAAACATTTTTTTTTATTAAAACCAGTCTGACAAAACAACTTTTTTGGTCTTAACTCAATTTCACCAATTTTTTATTATATCATATTCTATATATGATATAATTTTAAAACATATTGTCTTTTTGAGCTTGTTTTAAGCTGTTTATAAACATTTGAAATTTTTAATTACTTTTAATGTTTTAATATATCTATAATTTTTTTTCTATAGGTCAAAAACCTTGGAAATTTAATTTAAGGGTCCTCGTTAGTTGTTATAATAGCAGTTAAATTATTAGAGATACATAGGAACGGATTTATTTATAAGCATTTAAAGTTCAAATTTTGACAAAATTCGTCAAAATCTCCAAAATTTACAAATTATTTTGTTGTTATAAACTTATAAAATGCTCAATTTCTATAGCTAAGGATTAAAAGGTAGAGCAAGGTTTCTTATAAGTATTTCATTGTTCATACTGTTACCAAAAAATATAGCTATAAACAGTTTTAATTTCAAATTTCAAGTTTATACGTTATGAGTGTGTGGTTTATGGCTTTTATATATATAATAGATTAAAAAAATATGTTGTTTAATAATGTGTTTCAAAATGTTCAATATAAATTATTTTACTGTGCAGTGGTGTGTATGTAATATATAAAAAAAACAGAGCTATATGATATTGTAGGGGAGGAGGGCAGTCTCCACCTGGCGTTTATTAAAAACAATTTTCCAACCTGTCCTATAAGAGGAAAAAAAAGCTAAAAACACCCAGAAAGTCTCAAGGAATCTATTGATAAAACAGAAATTTATTTTAAATGAGTTACGTTGTTTCTGAGATAAGCTGTTATTAAAAAACTAATTTCACATTTATTCATGTAAATTATAGAAATTATTTTATCATTGGTAAATAGTTAGGTTGAATCAATTTAATTTAATTTAACTGCAAAATAGCAAATTGTTGTGAATTTAATGAATTTTGTAATAATTTGAACTTCAATCGCATATTAAAAAAAATTGTCTTATGTATCTTAAATGTATTTATATTTTTACAAAATCAACTTATGTGAGATCTTAAATTACATTTTGACTGAGCCTAAACATTGTTATCAACAAAATTCAAGAATATAAAATACCTATAAAAATCTTAAAAATATTTTAAAGATTATACCATGTATACTATAGAACAACGATCGGCAACCGGCAGACCTCATAACTCTTGATCCCATCAACACAATATAGTACTTGATTATGTTATTTACTATAATAGTATAATATATTATTATATTATTTTATTATTATTATCATTATTAATAGAAAATGTATATTTCATTAAATTTATCAAACTCAGATTATGGTTGTATCGTACAGGGGCGGATCTAGGGGAGGGTTAAGGAAGGTCAACTGAACCACAGTTAATATTTTCTGATCAAATTGGCCTCTTTTCAGATCTTGAGTAGTTGGACACTTAAATAAACACACATACAGTATAAATCAATTTTTTTTGTTTTAAATACCTAGTACACAAGTATAGATTTCTAATTTGGTTTTAATTAGTTGCCCCTTGAAATTTCCTGCCCCACAGTTTCCTAACTCTGGATCCGCCCCTGGTATCATAATTCATTGCAAATAATTTATCGGGCAGGTAATAATATGTTATAATACAGTGTCTGCCGACAACCGAGTCACGGATAAACCAAATTATAGAAAACGACAGTGTTAAATTACATTTATTGCATATCATTGCTATCTACTGATACAATAATATTATTTGTCTGTTACCCCTATTTTCTACATAACAATTTAGTTTGTGTACATTCGTTGGTGGATACAGTGCATGTTTATTTTTATCCAATTTTCAGTAGGTATACCGCTAGTATATTCTGATATTTAATTTTAATTTTGTTGAAGGTTTTGTCAAGCTGTAAGCAACTGATAATTAACTTGGCTACGATGTTTGGTTTGACATACATTTGTGAGGTATTATTTTCAAAAACTAAAAACCAATTTAAAAAAAACTGTTTAAGGAAAATAAATGTAATTTTTTGCATTGATTTAAGGAGAATTATTTAGGCAATTTCTAATCTCGTCGTTACCACCCGAGATCTATGTGTTAGTTGTAAATGATCATTAGTAGGGTTCGGGACTTGTTGCATTTGCATATGGCTTAATAATGACTGCAGAATAGTCTAAGTAAGATTTAAATTTGTTTTAAGTCATAACGGATTGAAATACAAAAATTTTAATTGCATATTTTTGCATATTTTGCCGTTTTCTGAGCAAAATGCATATTTGACAAATTTTGGCAGTTTAATTGTTATTTACAGCATATTTAAGCAGTTTTTTTTTATGTTAAGTACATTTATTTTAAAGGTTAACTTTATTTTTTTTACTTTCATGCGTTGTTCAATATCTCTGTTCTAATGTCTAATTGCGTACAGTCAAACTTTACAAGTGAACAATTCATCGTTTTTATATTTAATAATAATTTAATATATTAAAGAAAAACCCAACCTTTTTTTCATTGTAGGAGAAGACGAAGAAAATGAAATCGAACATACACTTCAGTAATATAATGTTGATAGTGTTATTGTAGTCAAAAATATGACTAATTACAAAAGAAGGTCTAAATTTAAATGAATAATACAAATTTTTAATTTAAAAAAAAATATTCAATTGCATATTTGTTCGCATATTTAGGTTATTTTAAGTGCATATGTGCATGCATATTTCCTATAATTTGTGTGCAATAAGTCCCGAACCCTAATCATTAGTGTGTATGGCGTCCATGAGGGTCAATTGTAGAGGTACTGGGCTCTAGCGCCCACTCGCAAGCACACATCAGTACGTAATATTGAGATCATGAAAAAATGTTTATTTTTCACTCAAACATACGATTCTAATTCCAACAATAACCTCAATTTGCATTTTGACAAAATATTCTTTTTTTCCACAACATGTACGAGGGATCAATCGAAGCACATTTTTAAAATTGTATTTAGTTAATTAAATATATAAGTTGGTAATTCTAAATTTTTTACATTTTACAATTTAAATTACAAAAATTAAAAATGTGGCTCAATCGTTACCTTGTATATATTACGGACAATAAGAATATTTTCTCAGAATGAATTTCGTGATAATTGTCGACATGTATCATTGGAATTAGAAACAGTAGTTTTTTAAAAAAAAGACGTGTTAGTGAGACCCCTTAAATTACTTGGTAAATAAAATTATTATTATTATCATACAATATTATTATTATTATTATCCTAATATTGTAATTTTTTAATATAAATTAATAAATTGTAATACCTAACTAGATAATTTTTTTATTTTTATACAGTTATTTTTTGAATATAAAGATTTGATAAAGATTTTTTTACTGGAAATCATTTATTTATTAGTTTAATTTTTAGGACTCCAATAGAAATTACTTGCCAACCCCTGCTATGGAAAATGGTAGAATATATAGGGGAAAATTTAAAGTATCTTTGATTATACATTTATAAATAACAACATAATAACAAAATCTATTTTATCAAAACTAGTTTTGGGTAAAAATAAAAATGAAACTCATTGTGAAATCAATACATTCTTGCTCCACTCAAAATATGCATTTTAATAACATCAACATTTTTATACAACATTCAATAATTAGGAATATTATAAAAAATAATATGTGATTTAAAAAATAAATAACTGAGCATCTTAAAATAGAAATATTGAATTGATTAAAATATACGTTTGGAAAATAAGTTTAAATAGAAATAAAGTAAAATGTGTCCAATTATATAAGGTAATATAAGCCTCTTTACTCATAATAAATAAACAAATAAATAGTAATTTGGTAGTTTACATTGAGTAGTTGATGATATTAAAATTTTTTACAACTTTCTAGTAAATACACGTAAGCAAAAAAACCAAAACAATTTACATGTACTTGACTAAAATATATTTTTAAGGCATGCATAATATTAACATTTTTCATTAAAAATAGTGTAGTATAATTTTTCATCAAATTTGTAAATAAACACAAGTTGAATATTGACACATTATACCTTTATGTGATTCATTAACTCATAATTAATTATGCTTAGTAGTTCTCAATTAACTTTTATTGCAATATTTAAACTATTATACCTACTTTATTAAAATTCCATTTTTTTTAGTGAATATTTGGAATTATAAAATGCTTACAATTCAATAATTTGCATGCTTTAATGATTAATAAAGAATAAAAATGACTAACTTTTAAAGTTTTTCTAAATAAATAATTTATGCACTAATATAAAACAAAATACTAACTTTTCATCAGACTCGAAACTTTGCGTTCTACGCAAAACAACTTCTGGAGGCTTTAATTCGTTATTGTCTGATGATGGGACAATAGGCTGTTTGAATTCTTTGGTTGTATTTCCTAACAATGTTAACAAAATTAAGAATTTCTTTATTCTAACAAAGTATATTTAATAAAGTAAATCTTACCAATGTTATTTTCTGACGTCTGTTCAATAGGTGTAAGTTGAATTTCCACTTTTTGATGTATTGTGGGGTCATCCTTAATCTTAATATCATCTTCTTCCTCTTTAATCACTCGATTTCGATCTAATACGGTTTCTTTGTCCTTTTTCAATGTTGATTTGTCATTACCGGATAGCCTGCTGATTGAAGATCTACATTGATTTTGTGATACAGAGCATCCAACAGGAATACAGAAGCAGAACACATAAAAAACATGCAAACAAGCAAAGAATAAAAAGCAATAAAAAAAAAAATTAACACAAGGTAGAAGAAAACCAGCCTAATATCAAACAATTAAATACTGAAAAAAGCTAAACACAAAAAAAGCTATAATTTATAAACTAAAACTAACCTTCTTTTCTGATTCTGAGAATTTGATAATTTATTACTTATTAGGTAATTTTTATCTAATGCATCTTTATTTTGAGAAGCTTGTTTCTTTTTTAATTCATCAAGTAAATCTTTCATTTCTTCATCAGAAACATCAAATGCTGTTTGACCCTTTGAAAAAAATAAAATAGATTGAAGAAATTTTCATGCGACGAAAATATTTCAAATTATATAATATACCACAAAATTTTTCTTTTTCATATTACAGAAATGTTCAACTAATATTTCACAAGCTTCTTTTTGACCCCAATATGCTGCTGCATGTAATGGTGTCCAACCATCATAATCTTGACAATCGACTTCTGCACCAGCTTGAATAAGGAGCCTAATAAATACATATTGCATTAAACTTTTTGATTAATACTTTATCATTTTTATAATATATTACTCTAAGACTTTAATGTATCCTTTGGCAGCAGATACGTGTATTGCCATTGCCCCAGTAGTAGCATGAGGAGAATCCTTAAATTTGCCAGTATTAATCCATTCTCGAGCATCTTTTAGCATCAGTCTCTCTTCTTTGTTCCTTGCTTCATCACAGTCAATTCCTTAAAAAAAAAAAAAATATTAAATACATATTTATTATACTGATCGTTAAATCAAGTTGAATTTACCCATATCTCTTAAATGTTGTTCTAAAAGTTTTCTCATGTCATCAGATTCTGCAATGTCAATAGCTAGTTCTTGATCACAGTTAATTGCTGATACATCTGCTCCGTGTTCTAATAAATATCTATAACAAACATATTTATTTAGAACTGATAACCCCAAATTATTTGAATTTTACTAAGAAAAAATGCATGTGTACAACTTAATAATAACAAATTGTAAATTTAATGGTATTAGTTAATTTATAGTAATACATTATACTGATAAATCGTTGTTTTATATTATAGGATTTATATATTATAAATTATATGAGTTTCTTTGTTAAGGAAATAATTTAGTGTCAAAATATCAACTACTAACAAAAATAATATACATTTATATATTATTGGTGATTATAAATACTGTTAGTACTTATAATAAACAATGATTTAATCTATAGCTGTATATTTTATTTTCGTTACTAAAATTATATACCTAGATGTATAACTATACATTTATATAGATCATAAATAAGTAAAAATATTTGCATTAAGTCTTGTCAAATTCTAATATTTTTTTCCCATTTGTTATTGAATGTTAAAAAGATGTTTAATTAAAACACATGAAAAATTATTTATTACATTTTGGAATATGCTAACAGACATTGTTTGAAACTCTTTATGCCAAAAATTGGATAAAAAAGAGACTCATTGATATTCTAATGTAATAACCTATTGCGTTTTTTGTTAAAAACATAATTTCTAAAAAATGTATAAGCTATGTAAAATACAGAAGCAGAGCCAGCTGGCAAAGTCTACAAACACCACAGAGTTGCTTCTAACAGTAGCCACAATCCCATTTTTAAATCGGATTGTGAAGAGCTGTCTAAAAATAACTATGACTGATGGCCTGTAAGTAGTAAATTTGCCATTCGAATATTGAAAAAATACAATACAAATGTTTAACATTGTCTATAGCTCCATGAATCAGAACCCCAAACATTAAAAAAAAAATTTATAAGTATCCAAGTATCCAGTATAAAAATATGGATGAATAAAAATATCTATTGACATCTTACATTCTTAACTATATGTAGAAAATAAACACTTTCATAGATACTGTTATTTGTTTTAACTAAATACTAACTTTGCAATGCTAACAAATCCACAAGATGTTGTTGCATGCAATGGTGTCCATCCTTCTTTATCACCTCTATTCACATCAGCTCCATGTTCAACCAAAAATTCAACCATATCTAGGTTATCATCAATACAAGCCTAAAATAAAATGCAAGATTACAATTATATATAAAACATTGGTACATAATATGTTATTTTATGGAAACAAAATAATATTCTCAAATGTATATTACTATTACATAATGAAAACTATTATAAAACTATTAAGGTTATCTGTTGCCATAAGGTGTTCTTTAATGTGAAGAATGTTGAAAACACATTTTTTATACATAACTAGTAACTTAATCATTAACTTTAGACTACACGTGTAGTTTCTAAAAATTGACCTAATCATGGAGGATATGTAAAAATATTTACCTCAGTTTACATACATTTTAATATTTAGTTAATAACTAACCATAAGGTAACTAACATTTTATAGTTATAAATTAAATTCATACGTATATGATATTTTTTCATATGTTTGTCTTATGTATAATCTGATACCTACCAATGTTTAATAAAAATAAAATAGTCTGACAACACTAAATGGAAATATGTCATTGTTGTAGTTGTACTAGGTAGAATATTAAATATCTATAGATGATAGCGCAATCTTATTTTCAAATCAGTGTTTCACCTTACATCTGTTACTCTTGAGGTTACTCTACTATATAAACTTCGAATAAAATATATAATAAATATCTAATTACCTAAACATTTTTTAAATTTACTGTTTTGTCATAAAAAATATTAAAACAAATACTTAGGTAATCAAATAAGAAAAAAACGAGGAAAAAAATTATGAAACATACACAACAAGTACATAATAATAATTTCAATATAGTATTCAACCCAAAATTACAAATTCATAGCATCATATTTTAACACATAAAAGGGATTAACAATAGCATAAAATATTTAAATTATTTAGAAATAAAAATATCCTTGTATTTAACCTACTTAATGTGTTTGAAACCTTTTCAGTGGTGTCCAAAGTTAGTTGACAACACCAAATAGAGCAAGAATGAAAATCTAATTAGGTAGGTGTAGGTCAATGCTGTGACCATAAATGGACAAAATAACATCAGATAAGAATTCAAATAAAATATACAGAATATAAACCTATTATATTTATAATTTGATTTTATGACAGAATAATTAGAATATAAAACTAACTATTTAATTTATAGAAGTTATGTATTACCTATAAGTAAACAAAAAAATATAACCTAATTAAAATAGGTAGGTACCTAGCAAATAGAACAGTATATTATGTTAATCTTTAATATAATTTCATTACATCAAGATGTATGGAAAAGTTTATATTTTTGTTTACATGCAAATAATATAGTAATAAACAATTATTGGTTGTATGAAATTTATGAGGTTTACCATACTGAATACGATAGAATTAGTGAGTTCTTACAGAGTAGGTATTGAAGTGCCAATTAAAATATGAATCATCCAAGCCATCATAAGGAATATTTTCTTATTCTGTTTAATGAACACAAACAAATATAGGTAATATACTGATTAACAGTTTCCAAAAATTACTGTATATTTATTAGTACCGCTCTGAGACTAATATTGTGCAAGTCATGACAGTTGTTAATTTGTTCTATTTATTTTTTAACTCATTTTAAATCCATTCATGCATAATTCCTTGGACTACATATTAATCATAGTGCAAGTTTGTCTGTAAAGAAAATAAATGAATGCCCATTTAAAAACAATTTTAATTACCAAAATATTTTTTACATTCCTATAAATTCTACTCTAATGGGAAAACAATTACACAGCAATTTAAAAATTAATTATAGGTACAAAAAATGTCAAGACAAAATATAATTTTAATCATATTTTAACTATAGGTAAATTAGGTACCTGCCCTAGTATAAAAATATCAAATACTTTATGGTACCTATTGTTTGATATCAATCATATTCAATATTCAAAGTAAATATTATTACAGTAGCTACCGGCAAAGACATATCTAATCAACGTCTTCTAGTTAGGTAATTATGATTAAAAAGTACAAACAATAAGAGATTATATATGTAGGTACATAATGAGATAAGTAGAAATCTGATTAGTCAAAACACCAAACAATTCTAACCGAATGTTTTTGTGACGACCGCTCATACCTGATGCAAAGCTGTGAGACCATCCGCATTAGCGGCATTGATGTCAGCGGCCAAGTACAGCAAGCTGTTCACCTCGTTCTTATCGCCTGACGAGACAGACGCTAGGAAAGCACAGTCTATGGGGAACGATACTGCCTTGATGTTCTTGCGGGATGGCGACTCTCGGTTGGTGTCCGATTCCTCCCAACGTTTCAACTGTTCGGCTCTCTTGAACAACGCCGACATAGCGACGACTGATCGCGCCCTGCCGCGTCAGGCGCGAACAACGGCGGCCACCAACGGTCGGCGGGCTCCGTCTTCGGGAACAGAGAGTACCGACTGTGTCAGACAGCCGCGGCCTGGCGCAGGGTCGTCCACAGGGCTCTTGCGGACGACATGACGATATCCTCGTTCGCGGGCGGGAGGCCACACGGACACACTCACGACGCGCGGGCGCTCGCACAATCACGACGGCCGTGGCAACAGCCGTTTTTCGTCGCGCGCGAAAGAACGCACCACGACCACAGTCCGCGCGCCGGCCCGTCGGTTGTTCGCACGGATAAAAAACGGTCGAGAGATTGTCGGGAGCCTCGGTGGTCACATCGGCCGGACGAGCGTTCGACGCGGTTTTCGGACGACAAGAATATCGGGACGACGAGAGAGAAGACGTTGGACCACTGTTGTACAACTGATGGTGGACCACTGAAGCTGTTCCTGTTGCCGCCTGCCGCCGCCACCACCGCTTAGCTCCTACAGAGTCGCAGTTGTAGTAGTAACTAGTAGTAGTAGTGTAGTACTACTAACTGTGGATTGTAGTAAATAGTAATAGTGATGATGGCTTTTATCAGTAAAAAAAAAATACACACGCACACTTGATTAATGTGTGTAAAAAAAAAAATTAAAATTAAAAAGGTAAATTCTCATCAGTGCTGTCGGACACGGGAAATAATATTGTCCCCGTCGTGGTCGGTAATTATAATATTATTATTATTATTATTATTATCGTTATTATTCTTTATTATTATTCGTCGTTTCGTCGAGTATTTCGGCTGTAACGTGTAACGCGACGTTACTACTGTCTGTCAGACGTCTGAGTCGCGGTCGTGGCGTGAAATGTGATTGGGTGGCGGGAGGGCAGGGCAACGCACTGTGTAGACTGAGAGGACTGAGCGAAAAAGCGGTATTTACATTTTTACACCGAGCAGGTACTATTTTTAGGCCGAAAACCAAATGAGCCAAAAATGTTGGAACATATTTTTTATATTTTTGGCATCTATTTCCATTGTATTCGGTGTTTATATCATTCTACTTTTAATAGAAATCGTTTAGCATCGATCTCGACGGAACAAAATAATTATTTTATAATTCTTTGGTCCTATTATGTTCTTAATCCTGACTCATCAATATACTTACATAAATATTGCGATTGGTAAGTTCAAATACCTAAAAAAATTTTCCATTTTATAATGCAACATGTACTATTATATAATAAGTTTATATAGATCTATAAAATCCGTTCAAATAATAATTTTCCCTACTAACATTATTAAAAAAAAAAAAATGTTAGAATATTGCAAACATGTACGTCATATATTATTTTTAAAACCGTTCTGATGTTCTATAATGAATTAATATGTTATCAGCGCCGGCGCTAGGTTTATCGGGGCCCGGGGCACATCGCACATCATATTGAAAGGGACCCCAATATGCGAAATATTGAAAGCAAAAACCTACCGGCTACCAACTGGAAAAAATACAAGTCCTATACATATTTTATATAATTTACATAGTTATATTTGTTAATATTAGGTATGTACCTACCTTTACAGTTTACAGTCTATAATATAGATATTAGACTCTATACTCTATATATTAGAATTTTATAAGTATCTAATACTTGAAAATAAATAAAGCCTGCTTCGTAGATCGTTTAACAATAAACAGTATGTATGCAACAAAATACAAAATATGATTTTATAGTAGGTAAAAGATTTTATTTGAGAAACTGAACTAGGAAGTTTTTATTATTTGAATAGTGTTTTACATCAAGCTTAACATAATATGTAATATTATTATATTTTTTAGCGATTACAAGTATATTATAGTGTATAAAAAAATATAGAAGTATGTATTATTACTTACACAATAAATTTACTTTTTTTTTTTTTTTTTAATTCCCTTTTATTTTATAAACTTCTCAACATTATCAAAATAAAAAATAAAGTATAATATAGTTAATTAATTTGAAATCATTTTTTAGTACATAAAAATAACAAGTAAACATTTAAAATTATAATTTATATTTGATATAGTTAGTTTTAGTGTTTAAGTTCTTAATAATTTTCTTTCTGGCTTTTTTGGAAGCAAAATCATTTATAATTTCTTCATAGTTCAACTGTTCGGATAGTTCTTTTTCAATACAAAGTGTGGCTAGTCCAGTGAGTCGTTGTTGGGACATGGTACTCCGTAAATAAGTTTTTATTAATTTAAGCTTCGAAAAAGATCTCTCTGCTCCAGCTGATGTGAGTGGAATGGTCAAATAATAACAGAAACACACAGACACCCAGTACAAGTAGCATGCATTTGGTTTTTACGAAAATAAAATTTATGAATCGTTATCGCGGTTTAAAATAATTACGAATTCGATTTATTTATAACTGAATAACTCATCTACAATAATATATTTTAATATTTCGGAGATCGACCACTAACATCAAGATAATATTATGCAGCTATACTAGATAATAAAATCCTGTATGGAACTTAACAAGAGTTTTAAATATAAATAATTTTATTTTAAATAATAATTTCTAGCGGGGCCCTGAAAGCGCGGGGCCCGGGGCATGTGCCCCGCTCGCCCCGGCCTTGCGCCGGCGCTGTATGTTATTAACATATAAAGAACAAAACTTCATAATTATTATAAATATAAATAAAATATATATTTATTGTAAAAAAATCAGAGTTAACATGTACCTATATTTTATAATTTATACAAATATTTACATTACAATTATTAAAAGATTGAAAGGTCATTATTAATAATATTTTTGCAACAGTATTCAAATAACTTAATTAATTAGTGAAAATATACTTTAAAATGGTAAAATCAATATACCGGGTGATTCTTTTATCAAACAACACTCATTGTTTCAAAAAGTGTAAATTTTTTTGAAGATATTTTTTTACATAGTTTCAAGTCGCTTATAAAACAACGTTTTTATTAAAAAATTATATTTTTAATTATTTTTTATCCTTATAATTTTTTAAGTTTTTTACTTTTTTGAATGACAACATAGGGTTTTAATTTTATATTCTAAAGTAGAATATTTTTCTTAGTATTTTGATACATGAAAATTGAATTTGGGGCGAGTAGTCTATGAGTTATAAGTATTTAAAGTTTAGACGAGCGAGTGGAGTGGTTCGGGGTTACCCCGCGAAATGTTTGTCCACTTCACCGCTCGTCTAAACTTTAAATACTTATAACTCATAAACTACTCGCCCCAAATTCAATTTTCATGTATCAAAATACTAAGAAAAATATTCTACTTTAGAATATAAAATTAAAACCCTATGTTGTCATTCAAAAAAGTAAAAAACTTAAAAAATTATAAGGATAAAAAATAATTAAAAATATAATTTTTTAATAAAAACGTTGTTTTATAAGCGACTTGAAACTATGTAAAAAAATATCTTCAAAAAAATTTACACTTTTTGAAATAATGAGTGTTGTTTGATAAAAGAATCACCCGGTATATATTATATATCCATCATCTACATTCTACAGTATGAACTGTGAAGTATGATAGTTACATTTTTATAAAATGGCGCTAATTTATAATAATGACTTATAAATATAAATTGCTTTTAACAGAAATTTTAATAAAATTTAAACACAATAAGTATACAACATTTTATATGTACAATCTTATATTATAGCACTTTGGTAATGTTTGACTTAATCATTGTTACATTAATGATAATATTTAAATAAGATCACATTACACTTAACATTTACTAAAAAACAGGTATTGTTGCTGTAGGTTTATTATTAACATCATCGTCCAATGTAAATAAAACCATAAATGAGAGATACAAACTAATAGCTGACAGGAAATGCCAAATATCGTGATTATCATAGAAATCCATAAAAGTGCAAGGTGTGTTATACGTTCTTGATTCAGCTGCACTTAGCTACATTACATAAAAGAAAATGTTTGACTATTTGTTTTGTTATTAAGATAACAATTAAAAATACTTACAGTCCATGAACTTGATTTATGCATATAAAAATACAACGAGGCACACCAAAATATCATAGCCAGCAAAATGTACAGTAATGGCCAAAAATGTAATTTTTCCTTTGATATCAACTTCATAACAATATAGAATGATAGATACAGAATCAAATTGACCATAAACAATATTAAGAGGTAATTTCCAAAATTACCAAACTTTATGACCCAATGACTTATGGCCAGTCCCAAGTTTATTAAAATACCTAGATCAACATGTTGAATAATTATTATAATGGATATTTATAATTAGTTATTTATGATTTACCAATACTCAACAAAACCATACGGTTTGGATACTTCGGTTTACATGGATTTGGTGCACTCATTAAGTGGTTAAAAAAACGTTTTGGTGTATTTTTATCTAATAATTTAATAAAATAATTACTTTCAAATCTATTATTTTAAATATTATGTTATAATATTACCTAATTTCCATCTGCCCATATAGTATATTTGTGCAGATAACCAAAATATCATTATTAAATGTAAACAAGTGAAGAGTATAAAAAGTATTGGACCTTCGTACATAATACCAGTAAGACCAAGTATAATAACAAATGCCAAAACACCAAACACTAAATATGCATTAGCATTAATGTCAGGATGTCTAGTTTGATAAATTTTGATCATACTCAACATACATATTATGTACATAAAACTCGTATCTAAAATAAGTTTTTAATAAACATTAAATTAAAATACAAATTAAACGCAATATTCATAACTATTTAAAGTAATAATTACCGAATTGAAAATTAGAATGATTAGGGCATACATGATAACAAGCACTCATCAACCCTTCCATAGCCAGTGCTGATCCCATTGCATAATACAAACCACAATGATTAGGAATACCAAACTTCTGTTGTGAGTTTAAAATATTTTATTAGAAAATTCAGTAAATTATAATTAGTTACAATAGTTGAAGAATTACTTACTTGATTAGGTATATTCACACATTCTCGTTTATATGTAATTAAAATGAAAAGAAGTCCAAAAAATATATACCCAATATTTGAAAATATATGATTGAAATCACTAAATTTCCATGGTCCTAATACAAAACTATGAGAACACAGAAAATTATAATAACACAAATCCTGATTTCCAGTTTCATTGAGCATCTAAAAAATATTTAAAACCGGTTATTTTTTTTTAATGAATAGGTACATAAGTTAAACAAAATGTACTTTTTGTGAAGTAAAAACTAATTGAATAACAGGCAATGAATAAAATACAGCTACTGTTATCAAATTCCATACGTATAAGTTAGATTTAGCTTTTAAAATTCTATGATCTTTTTTAGATAAATCACTGACATATAGACATGTTTTGGTTCTGAAAAATAAATACATTAAACATAAATTAAAATTTGAACTTCAAACATATTTTTTAGTATCCTTTTGTTGTTAAATTTACTATTCCATTTTTAACAATTTTAAAATTATTCTA